GGTGATTAACTTTTCATTGTTCTGTCTGTGTATGGTAAAATCCCTTATTGTTACAAGTCCTATCTCTGTAACCGGGTGTGGTTGAGGTTCATACTAGTTTCTTGCAGTTTCCTTTCCGTAAAAGTTGCATATTTTCCAGTGCAGATATTGGCCCACTCTGTCACGCCAGGTTTTATATTCAGTGAGTTCGAACACCGAGCAAGCTGAGAGATTGTTTCTGGATATTTATCACAGAATCTACATTTCGGGTTAACACATTTTTTCAGTAATGTGCTTGGTAATTTCGAGTTAGCAAGCATTGATCTTGTACAGCAACAATAAAACCTTCCGTTTCAGCTTCTAATCCTGCACTACGTAACCACTTATGATTACGGGGTTTGCCTATATCAACTTGTTTGGTACGGGCAGAGTATTGACCATGAAGAGGCTTATCTTGCCATCGTTTTAATATATTGCATTTGCTTTCTTTTTTAGGTTCTTTGCCGCTACAGTAGGTGTATTATGGGTTATTTGCGCTTCTTTACCCACTTGAAATTCTCTTTTGAATTTGTTGGCTTCCTTTATTACCGAATAAAGTTTCTTATTTCTTTCACGTTCTTTGACCCAGATCATCACACAGTCGTCTGTAGTTTCCAGTTATCCTTGAAGGCTGATTGTTGTGGTTTTGTAAGACAATTCTCGTTGAACTAATCCTCTTCCTCCTTCGGATCTGGACAAATACAGATGGACAACATTAGCCTTAAGATGGCGCCTGCAGAGATAAATGAGAAGCTTTCTCGTTTTGACATCCATTCGCTTAATGTCAGCTATGGTCTATTTAAGGATGTTGAAACTTTATTGCACCACAGGGACAGCTAAAGTGCTTATGGATGATTGTTTTTTTTTTGTGAATTGAACTCGGCATTTAACAACTGACGCAACTATAGTAATCATTTCTTATTTTCTCCTTCATTTGGATATGCTGTATTCCATTTTTGGTGATTCCTAGATATTTATAGGCTTTTTCCTGTTTCTGTTCCCTGATCTTTGTGGCAAAATCTAAATCTGTTGAGTGTATTTCTGTAATTTTTCCTTTCTTGAATGTCACCGTTGCACATTTATCTAATCCGAAATCCATACAGATGTCGTCACTGAAAAAATTTACAGTATTTATGATACCCTTCAACCCATTGGCAAAGAGTTTGATATCATCCATCTAGAATAGTTGATTAAACACTTTCTTTTTTACTTTACTTTGTATCTATAGTTATTATAGTTTAGCTCATGCAAAAGAGTGATTAAGTACAGACAGAACAGAAGACAGTGAAAGATTCCTCGTCTGATATTAAAACGATTGGAAACCCTTTGTGTGATTTCGGTATAATCTGGTTTTCCACGGGTCCATGCTAATTTACTATCACCGAGGAGACGTTGTACATTTCCAAATTCTTAAGGACCCAAGAGTGTGGCACACTACCAAAAGATTTACGGTAATTTATCTACGCTTTTCTGAGATTTCTAACTTTTTTCCTGCAATTTCCCAGGATCATTTAATCTTTTAGTAGTTGATCTTTGCAAACATATTAACCTTTTCGACATCCCTTCTGTTCCAAGGGAAGAATGGCGTTTTCATCAAGAAAAGAGTAAATACAGTTCGCCAGGAGAGACGTGATCAGTTTGTATGTGGTGGACCGACATGTTATTGGTCTATAATTTTTGGGATCATCTGTGTCACCCGTTTTCAGTATATGTAATACCTTCAGTGATCCATTCTAAAATTTCATTAACTTATTAATTAGCATTGATAAAGTTTGCGAAGAGGTTTATGGCTTAACGGTAGACGATAGAGCCAAAAGTTGGGTACCTTGTCATTTCCTGGGAATTTCTATTTTGGAGATTTTGTTAGAGCTTGTCTAACATTATTTTTAGTTATATTTTACCATTGTTGCACATTTATGCTTCATTATTATTATTATTATTATTATTATTATTATTATTATTATTCCTGTTGTTGTTGTTTATTTTCTTTGATTTCTTTCCGGGTCCCGACCAGAGATCTAAGGTCAGAAATGGCATCATGACATTTTCCACTGAGCAGTTTTGAAAAAAGATAATCACACATATTTTACATAGATAAAGTCATCAGCTACCAGAGATTCCTTCAATGAGTCTATTGGAATCTTTTCCAATCAATCCGAGGGCTCCAACTACAACTGGAATTGTTAATGTTCTCATGCGCCACATTTTTGAAATTTAGATTTCAAGGTCTTTGTATTTTGACAGTTTCTTGAACCTTTTCAAAATTACATTGCAGTCTGCATGTCAACAAGAAAGCCCATTCTGTTCTCTAATCACGATGTCTGGGTGATTAGCTTTGATTGTTCTGTATGTGTGTATTGTTAACTCCCATAAAATTATTACAGGTGCTATCTCTGTAAGCGGGTCTGGGTGATGTTTATACCAATTTCTTACAGTTTCCTTTCCGTAAAAGTTTCAGATTTTTTAGTGCAGATAATGGCCCCCTCTATTATTATTATTATTATTATTATTATTATTATTCGATTTCGATATCCCCACGGACGTTTATGCCGCGTGATGATGATAAAACTTAGCTCCTACCGGCAGCTTAGAGAAACAATGCTTTCCTCAACGCATGAGCTGTTCCCAGCAGCAGTTGCCATCTGCAGACTTCCAATGATGTCAGACCTAGATTGGAGCAGCAACCAAATAATTATTGTGCTCCTACATGTCAATCAAATGAAAACATAAATATATATATATATATATATATATATATATATATATATATATATATATATATATATATATAAAGCTATTATATCAAGACTCTTCGATAAAGTGAATCGAGTCCTCTTAGTCACTGTGTGTTTATCTAAAATAAATACGCTTAAATTCACCTTCCTGCTATGCACCGACGGCTTAGTGGTAGAATCTCTGACTGACGGCAATTCAGACGGATTTAATCCTAGCTAGAGGTAACTAAACGTCTAACCACACTGAAGAGCTGTGATACAGCGAAACAATCTCTGTCTGTGGATGATAATATATATATATATATATATATATATATATATATATATATATATATATATATATATATATATATACACACATATGTGTATGTATGTGTTTGTGCGCGCATATATACCTGTGTGTATGTATGTGTATATATGTATAAGCATGTGTATGTGCGTGTTTATACGTGTGTGTATACCATTCTTTTCTCACTCTCTCGGTATATATATATATATATATATATATATATATATATATATATATATTATGTCACCGATATTCAGAGAACTTAAAACGATTATTTGGTTACTTATCTTAAGGTATCATTTTACTTACAATTATTGCCACGTGTCGCAAACAATTATTTAAACAGATAAGTTGTATATAATCAACAGGTCATTTTTATAGACCCCCGTTCACTGATATTATTGCCAACTAAGACTATTTTTACATTTCTGTAATTTTTTATAAATTGGTGATAACTCTGATATTTCACTGTGTTCCTTTTATTGTAGAAAAAAATGGCAGCAAATCTTTCTCAATTGAATTATTCAATATCATCATCAGATAAACATTTGCCAGTAAAAAAAAAAATGAAACGTGCACGCGGATAAAGATGGTCTCTTGTGGCTAAATTGGCAACGATATGCTTCAACTATGTCGGGAGGCGTAATTGTTCTTCAGTAGGACATCGCGATCTATGCCGGCTGTTATTAATTTCTTTGCTTAAGAAGACAGCAAAATCTGGAATAGCAACGCAGATACGTGTACCCACTAAAAGGATTTTTATAGTATCTCTCTATATATATGACCCGTGTCTCCTCATGATCACGACTCTCCACAATCTCCTGTCGCTTGCAGCTCTAAATAAATTCTGTCAGTTATTTCTCAACATTTCATTTTCTCAAACTCGTCAAGTATATTATGCGTTGTTTTCCTCTGTCCTTCTTGTCCTCAATCTGTCCCTGTGAGTATCAGATTTTCCAAGCCCTCCTTCTTCATTATGTACTCCCAAAAGTTTAAGTGTCTCTTCATGATGTGAAGTATAAGTTTCCTTTTTGCTTCCATTTTCTCTAAAACCTCATCGTTGCTCAGATGTTCGGTCCATGGTACCCTCGGCATCGTTCTGTAGAACTATATTTCTGTTGCTTCAAGTCTCTTCATTTTTGAGGAAATTGTAATGTCGGATTTTAAAAATTATTTTTCTAATTATATATATATATATATATATATATAAAGCAGGGATCGGATTTGTACTAATAATACCATCTACAACGAGTTCACACCAGCCCCTAAAAAAAAACACCGTTGGTGAGTCTTCTCCGTTTCTCTGTTTATTTCTCGCACCGCTGATGAAGGACACAGGCGTTCCCGAAATTCCCGGACTAATAACATTAATCTCCGTGCTTCATTTCTGTCTTGTGATTGACAATTAATATAAAATAAATTCTTTTCGCGCTGATCACATTGGTACCTTTTCATATAAGGTTAGGTAAGTGAGATAACTAGATATTAGCGATCGTATACGCGCGTGCTATATATATATATATATATATATGTGTGTGTGTGTGTGTGTGTGCGTGCGCGCGTGCGCGCGTGCGCGTGTGTATGTGTATGTGCGCGCGTGTGTATGTGTGTGTGTGTATTGTGCTAATAATACAATATTCTTGTCTGACACTAGGGAGTGATAACATCCTGGGACTTTTAGTCGGTCATAGACTAGTATTATGAACTTGTCATTTATTGATAATAGTAATTAGTGATCTAGTTATCTATTGAGCACTATTCCTAGAATTCTGCTCACCTTGACATTCAATTACATCACTTTACGTATATAATACAGTTGTTATATATATATATATATATATATATATATATATATATATGTGTGTGTGTGTGTGTGTTTGTATAATTCAAGTATATCTGTAAAGATCGTATTCCTATGCATAAAATTACGAGTCATAATATTGTTTTGTCTGTCTTAGCCTGATCTCTCTCTCTCTCTCTCTCTCTCTCTCTCTCTCTCTCTCTCTCTCTCTCTCTTTGTATACACGTGTGTGCGTGTTTTTGTATGTATCTGCGTGTGAATCAATTTTGAATTCAGAATGGATATTGGGTTGTTCAAACGCAACTAATATGGCGTCCGTTCTCGTGGATGATATAATTATCAAGCGATTTTCCAAATGATGACAGAATTCGTCTCCTTCCTGTCGTCGCCATGGCAACTGCAATGGTAAATACGGTGTTGGGACGAGGTGCGGCAAGTCTCTTTCCTTTATCATTTTGTTTCTTTATTTGCTTCGCTCCCTCTTTCTCTCTCTCTCTCTCTCTCTCACTCACACAGGCACACACACACACAAACACATACATACACACAGACTCCTTTATTTCACTTCACCTTCTCTCTATCTAACTCATTTTTTCTTCCTCTCCCCGCCTAACTCTTTCTTACATTTGTCCTTCTTTCAATTATTCTTGAAGTCGATCAGATACTTGAGTCGATTTTCTCAGGTTCTAATGCAAGACATCACTGCTTGCACTTTCTCTCCGTTGTTGCTAGTTGCACACTTTCTATACGTTGGCTGCTGCCTCACTGTAACTTATTGCATACATATTTTCTCAGGATCAAGAAAGAAGGTATTTCATTATACGTACTGGGAAACTGGAAACACATAACTAAATGTTGTTTAAAAAATATATATATCAATATCACCAGTGAATGTCCACATCTATCCCCCTCTCTCAATCTGTTCAGTCTTTCTTTCTCTGTCTCTCTATCTATCTATCTATCTATCTATCTATCTATCTATCTATCTATCTATCTCAGTATTTTCTTATCTATCTATCTATCTATCTATCTATCTATCTATCTATCAGTATGTTCTTATCTATCTATCTATCTATATCTATCCATCTATCTATCTATCTATCTATCTCAGTATTTTCATATTATCTATCTATCTATCTATCTATCTCCATCTATCTATCTATCTCCAGTCTGTTCATATCTATCTATCTATCTATCTATCTATCTATCTATCTATCTATCTCAGTATGTTCTTATCTATCTATCTATCTATCTATCTATCTATCTATCTATCTATCTATCTATCTCAGTATGTTTTTATCTATCTATCTATCTATCTATCTATCTATCTATCTATCTCAGTATGTTCTTATCTATCTATCTATCTATCTATCTATCTATCTATCTATCTATCTCAGTATGTTCTTATCTATCTATCTATCTATCTATCTATCTATCTATCTATCTCAGTATGTTCTTATCCATCTATCTATCTATCTATCTATCTATCTATCTATCTATCTATCTATCTATCTATCTCAGTATGTTTTTATCTATCTATATCTATCTATATCTATTTATTTTTCTGGATGTCAGTATGTTCTTCTGTATCTTTTCTTTCTTTTTTAATCAATTAACCCCTAAGCAAGTCGATGATACCACTAACACACAAGGGGCTAGTGGGAATGAAAGAAAATGAGAATACTTTAGAAGTAACCGAAAACTTAATCCTAAACAGTAAACGGGGAGGAGTGTGAACCGGACGATAGGCGAACCGATTTACTCCTATTGAGGACAAATAAATTAAAAAAATATATAGTAAATAAAAATTTCAGGAGACGTCAGAATTAGTTGAAGTAGACTTTAGAAAGAATCGGAAATCCAATCCCAAACAGGAGACAAGGGATAAACCTGTACTCCTGTTCAAATGGCCGGGGAGATGTGCGAACTGGACGATGGGCGTATCTATCTATCTATCTATCTATCTATCTATCTGTCATGGTCCGGTTCCTTGTACCACGGTGATAGTCCAAGGTAGAACCAATAAAGAAGAACACGAACACGGATATGGAATAACACAGATATATTACAAACAGGAATATATACAGAGAAGTAGAAAGTGTTAATACGAACAATCAGGTTTAGTAGTAATTGTCTGAACTCGACTGTTTCGGACTGCCTCTGACTCGACTGACAGACTCGCTCGCTCTGACTGACTGACTGACGGACAGACTCTTGACGGACTTCACTCCAGACTTCAGACGGAACTCCAGACTTCAGACAGAACTCCCTGCTTCCTCTTGAGGCGCAGTATTTATTACATATGGAATAGTCCATTATGTTATTATGGGTAAGGTCTCATAACAATATCTATCTATCTATCTATCTATCTATCTATCTATCTATCTATCTATCTATCTATCTGTTCCGCTACATCAGTCCGTTCGTATCTATTTATCTATCGTAATATCTTCATATCTAACTCAGAGTGCTCGTATCTATCTATTTGTGGATGTAGATAAGTCTGTTGCCTAACTGCAATTATTAATCAAATTTTGATCTTAAAATATCGCTGTATAATGCTATGAAAATAATGATCTAAAATATCACTCTATAATGCTAGTGTCATAAACATTCATCACTATATTAAGAAACGTCGTTATATTTGAAATAATTATTTGTTGTTTAAAATATTTTTTTCATCAAGATAAAACTTCTTAACATACAAATGCTGTCATTTAATTTGGAGACGTTGATACGTCTTCTGTGTGCTGCGTCTCTTCAGGAAAAGGACGATCATGTCCACCCACCCCCATTCCATATCCCTCAGCAGTTTTCTCCCTTTGTTAAATCTCCTTCTCGTTCCGCCATCCATTCACACGAGCTCGCCAAGTGATTAGCTCTTTGAATTAAGTGGCGACAGAAGAATTATCGTTGAACTTTTAAAAGTAAGCTTAAATATTAATGCAATACTTAAATGCAGCGATCAATTTTGAGTTCTTCTGAAGTTTATTGTTGTTATCGCATACGGCAGCAGTTATGTCTCGCAAAAAGAAATCTCCGCTGACAGAGGACTAGATTGCAATCAAAATAGCCTAGGCTGCAGCGAGGAAAAGAATGTCTCATGCAAATGAAAATCCACATGAAACGACAGCCAAGAGAGCTTCCAATGCTGATAATATGCAAAGACTTAGGGACCCTCATGAAGAAGCCGAAGGCCCAATCAAAAGCTATCCGTAGATAGGGCGGCTTTTAAGCTGGTAAAATAATAATTTAAGGTAATAACATAATAATTTAATCTAGTAAAATTAATAATTTAATCTAGTAAAATTAATAATTTAATCTAGTAAAATTAATAATTTAAGCTAGTAAAATTAATAATTTAAGCTAGTAAAATTAATAATTTAAGCTGGTAAAATAATAATTTAAGCTAGTAAAATAATAATTTAAGCTGGTAAAATAATAATTTAAGCTAGTAAAATAATAATTTAAGCTAATAAAATAATAATTTAAGCTGGTAAAATAATAATTTAAACTAGTAAAATTAATAATTTAAGCTAGTAAAATAATAATTTTTATTACGAGATATTTTTTTAAACCAAAATCTCATTTTACACCCCTTTAAATTATGTTTGTTTGCACGCAAGTAATGTACATATTGTAATACGTTTCTCTTTAAATAATATTTTGTCGCACATACCCTCATCATTTAGTTTCGGGCATGGCCTGGAATTAAATTTACTCTTTATTATAGATGATAAGGTGGAAGTGGGGAGGTGCTCAACTTTGTCTGTTTGGGTGGGGGGTTATAAAGCAGCCCAAAAGAAAAGGAGTCAAAGCCTATTTCTCTTTTTTTCCTTCTTCTCACGCTTCGACCACAGGATACTGTTGTGGCAAGACGTGATTTATTTCCACTCTGAGGATCCTTTTTTTACCGGGCGTTCTACCAAACCACAGGTCGCATCATTCACTCACATGCGCACACAGACATATACATGCGCACACAGACATATACATGCGCACACAATGACGAAAATGTATATGGCTCATGCTGACCTCCAGACTTAGTTCAATGTGTTGTGCTAGACAGTTTTCCTTCTAGAATCTATCTTACGTATCTATAAGTCTACTATTCGTCCATACTTAGAATATTGCTGCCGCATTTGGTCCGGTGAATATCATTGGCCCTGACCTGACGTCTCGGCTTCAGTCACTTTCCCACTACCGTAAAGCTGCCCACCCCCGTGCCTTTTCTATAAATGCTTTCATGGTAATTGTTCGGATGAGATCTTCGCTATGGTGCCTAGACTATGAATTTAAGCGCAGCATTAGACTGGCGTGGAGATCTCGTCAATTTATAGTTGAGCTGGCTAGATGTAATCGTAAACTCTATGTTAACAGTTTCCTTTCTCGCACTTCTCACTTGTGGGTCTCCCTTCCGGCTCCATGCTTTCCAGCCAACTTTAACCTGCGAAAATTTAAATGCAATATCAAACGCTGTTTACTGTCATCCTGATTACTCTTTTTGTTTTCGGTCATGAATAATGTTTCTGTTTCTAATTATTCTGCACCCTGTAACCCCTTGTGTCTCAGTGGCTTTACTGCCTTGCTTGGGGCGAAATCGATAAAAAAAAAAGAAATTAAAAACAAACTTCTCTCTTTCTCTATGTTGTTACGTCTATAAATATATAAAAATAAGAATGTATCTGTTGAATTCATTTATAAAAGCGTGGAGGTTAATGTCCTTACAAATTCGTCACCTGAGATTAAAATATTCTGTCTGCATTTATTATTATTTTTTTTTTAATTATGGTCCGTGGCATGAGCACTTAAGTTTGGTACAAAAATCTTCAATTAATTCCATGAAAATTACATAGAGTATTTTTTGTCAATTTATGAAAAAGTTGTGGTTAACCAAACTCTGAAGTACAATACCTCAAAACTACAAAAAGTGCTGATAAAACATTTTTAATTTCGGGTAACGAATTCTTAACCCCTTTCTGTAACAAAAGAAGTGATTTAGTTTTTTTTCTATTAAAAACGAGTTTTTTGTAATGGGCAAAAACGCGTTTCATCACTAGACACCAAGGCAAGAATCGTGCAACTACGTAAGTTTACATGACTCTATAAAGCAACACATTATGTTAGAAAAGATCTACTTAAAATGCCATAAACACATCTAGTGGCTATATGGATCGGCCCAGATATTGATAGTTGAGAATAAACTGCTATACCTATAGATAGGTATATTCATCCACTTTCAATAAGCAATATGAAAATAATTTACGTCGATATCTAAAATTATATAAAATAATAATACATTTTGAAAATAGGTTTGACCACATTTAAATGTTGCCTAAAGCCAACACTTTGAAGATCACCCAATGATTCTTTGAGACAGGAGAAATTAAAAGCTAAATAGAATACTATGTCAACAATTGATTTAAAAATGTTGTTTTGTACTCAAAAACGTACACAAACTCTCACTACGGGATTGATTGTTTTAATATATCGAATATGATGACATTAAGAGATCGCGGCATCTATCAGAGAGATTAAATTTTAATGTTTATTATTGAATTATTCCAAAATTTTAACACTTCAGCAGATACCTATTAATGTCAACAACTGAGCACAAATAGTTTTTAATTAAAAAAATAGTAATAAATGTATATTATCCATAACTACATGTACAAGTATGTCGTTTTTGATAAAAGTTTAAAAAAATAACCATAAACACATAAAAAAATGCCTATATTGTCGAAAATTCCTTTTTCCACAATATAGCTATTTGTGTTATGTTATAATGCTTATTACCTAAACAACAATAATACTGAATATTTTTTAAAAACATTAAAGTATATTTAATCACATCTCCTTAATAGCTGTCGTGATCTGTAAATAATTGTATAGATACATACAATTTATTCGTTATCCTATAAAAATGAAAGATTCGCCAAGCATTGCAGCAAACTTCATAACGGATCAATTTGGAAGCAAACGTATGCAATGGCAGTTAAAAAAACAATATGCAGCAGATCAGAAAAGAACTAGTGTCAACAGCAAAAGCCATCTCGAAGAAAGAAGAAGCCAAAAGAAATCTATGACAAGTGAAATTCTCGCCCTAATCAAAGAGTGACGCTCGATAAGCCTAAGAAATTGCGCAGAGCATATTCTGCTAAATAAAAACATCAGAAATAAATGCATGCAAATACTGAATGGCTCAATGAGAAGTGTGTAGAGATCGAAAAACTGCAGAACACAGACGCAGCAGGCGTATATTAAAAGATAAAAGAAATAGCATAATCGATTTTGGCAGCTTTAGACGCTTTGGGTACTGATAAGGTGATTTTTTTAACACCATTTCCCTTCTGGACGTAAAATATCATATCTATCCACAAATTCCTGTGAATTCCCATACATTTTGTTAGTCTGTTGTCTGTGGCGTACTAGATGAGGCTGTTACGGCTGTGTTAGATTTATGCTTAACTGTGTGTGTGTGTGTGTGTGTGTGTGTGTGTGTTCACGTTCGTGTGGGCGTAAGCGACAGAACCGTCTTTTAATATAAATGTCTCTTTTAGGAAACGATAGGAATACTAATTTAAAACACACACACAAACACACACACACACTGTTCCGAAAATAATATTATAACTTGTAGAGGAAATAAATGGAAATCATTAGTACCTTTTTATTCTGTTACTTTTTATGGCATTGGCCATGCCTCTTATTCATCTTTGTCCATACTGATTATTTACCCAATAGACGGCGATATATATATATATATATATATATATATATATATATATATATATATATATAACAAACAAAAACAGTAGAAATAAAAATGAAAAGAATAACGAATCCTAAAAATTTATAATGAAAATGTTTTTATTTCAGAAATTCATACATCTTGAGATTAACACGCTTCAACAATAAAAAATACATCCAATAATTCGCTGAAAAAGTTCCTAGCCTGATGAAAAAGGCCCCTAAACTTAATAAAAACAGAGTTTTAACGTCAAAATGTTTATGTTATTATGAAGAGGAAAGAACAAAGTATTTTTTAATTATTTTTTAAAATATTTTACCTCTTTCTAAGACGTTCGAAATTTGTGTTAAAAATCTTGTTTTTTTTTTTTTCTGTTTCGACGGTGTAACAGAGCTGCTAATGCACATTTTCGCATCACCATTTCTGGGGAAAACATTAATTTTGAAATTCTTGCAAAAATCAAATAATTGTCGGATTTTAATGCAACTTTCAGGACTTATTCACAAATAAATGAATTTATTTTTTAAATTATTATTTTTAGAAAATCTTGTAAAAAATATTTTTTACATCTGTTAACCCCTCTTTACTTAATTTCATAAAATTTTCTAGAATTTAAAATCGCTATCGAATGGTTTTATATTAGTTAAAAGCAGTACAATTTGGAAAATGTAAATCATCAATTTCTTTTTCC